AAATCAGCGAGGCAGTGACGTTATAGTTATGTTAGTATTTCAGTGTATCTTAAGGCTTTAGAAACGCATCTCATGCTCTTATACAGTCCCCACACTTTTAAAATCACTTTTAATGTTCTTAACCATTTTCTAAACTTGTAAACCTACATATTTTAACAACATATGCCTACTGGATGGTACAGCAATATGGTATAGTGAAGAACCTGTGGTAAATAATTTAGATTAATATTTTTTTGAAACCCCATGAAACAGTGAGTCCACAAAAGTCAGACCACGAAATGGGAGAGGACTGCTGTACTGCTGGAGCCATGGTTTACTTTTAAAGTGTCAGTGTGAGCTGGGCATGGCGGTGAACAGCCGCAGTCCCCGCAGCGCGAGAAGCTGCGAGTCGGAACGTGGCCTGGCAAGATTCTGTCTCAAATTTAGAAGAAGAGAAAGGGCTGGGGATGGAGCTCACTGAGGAGGCCCTGGGTTCAGGCCTCAGTGCCATGCAAGTGCTTGCACACACACACACACACACACACACACACACACACACAGAGGCGTACACACACACACACACACACAGAGGCGTGCACACACTGGGCACAATGACACAAGTGTGCCCCAGGTTTTGTTAAAGCCAACAGGCAGGTCACACGCAGGACACTGCCTAACCATTTGCCCTCATGGGATTTGAAAGGTCTGGGTGAGCCCAAGGAACAAGGGGTCTCTTCCTGCCCCTTCCAGGCCACATCATGGGAGGCAGACTCACTCACAGGCTGCAGCTGTCCCCAGCTCCTCTGCCTCCATGAACACTTGAAATTATAAGGCATAAAACATCGGTAACAGAGATGTAGCTCCCTGACCTTTCATTGCAGTAGACAACCATGAAGTCACTGGCGCTGGCTCTAGAAGGTGTGCTGAAGCTGGAGGTGGTAGTTCAGGGCTGTGGTCTCGGAGACTGAGATAGGAGGATTGCAAGTTTGAGGCCCACCTGGGCAACTTAGTGGCCTAGTAAGACCCTGGGTCAAATCTGTCTCACAATAGAAATAAATAGGCTCAGAGACAGAGCTCAGTGTGGGAACTGGGTTCTGCTCCTTGTAGCGGGAAGCAATAGGCTTTAAGAAGCTGCGGAGAGTCCGCAGGCAGGTGGGGCCTCACTGGCTCTGCAGCGGCTGGAGAAACATTTGAATGTGGGCAGTGTTGTGGAGCGAAGGGCAGAGAGCTCACTGCCTGGTGCTCAGAGAGAGGCAGCGGTTGGCCTGGGGGATGGAGAGGTGTGTGCAGAGGCTCCTGGGCAGATGGACGCGGCCGGGGGCATCATGGGGCCTGGGGGGTGCAGCTGTGGGCAGGGGAGGAGGTGGGATTCTGAGTGGCAGGGGGCCCACCAGAAGTGGGGATTGGGCCAGAGAGACAGGAGGAGGCCAGGGGAGGCAGCGGAGGCGGGATGCGTGAACACCGTTGTCACAGGACCTCCTCAGGATGCTCTGAAAGGACAGACCCAGGTGGGTGACGCCAGGAGGCACTAGGGGGCAGTGTGGAGCGTCCTCCCTGCTCTTCCCTGGCTGACCTCAGCTGAGAAGGGGCTGCCAGCTTCAGACTGTGTTGGAAGCCAGACCCCATAATCGGTCTGACCTTGCAGAAGGAACTCTGATGAAAAACTAGGATGTGGCAACGTGCCCAGCTTCCGAGACCCACAGCATTGGCAGCGGGCCCAGCGGCAGACTCTGTTCCTTCATACTCAGTCTTTGTTTATCATCTCAGCCCTGGGAACCTATTCTATCCCGTGAGAAACCGTTAACTGGGACAAATGTCAGGCATGGACCAAGATTTTCTGTATATAAGCTTGAAGCAAAATAAGCTTAAATTGCTGGACCAGCAGTTCAGACCTCCTGACCGGCTTCCTTTCTTTTCATTCTATCTTCCCCCTACCCTGATCCTCTCTGTGAGGGCTGGGCCCCCACAGGACTGAAGTTCAATTTCAGCACTGGCGTCTGCATTAGTCTCTTCCCCATCACTGGGACGAAATGCCTGGCACGTGCGGTGCAGAGGAGCAGAGGGTCATCCTGGTAGGCGTGACTACCAGGGCTGGCTGGCTCCCAGGCAGAACGGCAAGGGGAAGGGTGGTGGAGGCCGGCTGCTGCCCCCCGCAGCCAGGAAGCAGAGGGAGAAGGAGGAGTGGGGACGGGGGCGCGCCCCTCCTAGCCATTCCTCAGTGGCCGCCTCCCTGCAGGCCCCACCTCCCGAAAGCACATTCAGCAGTACAGTCATCATCCGAGATCAAAGCCATAGCAAACATCATCCGCACTGGCCAGACAGTAAGAAACCACAGAAGTACCCTTTAGAGCACTTGAGCAGCTCAGTCCTCCCAGCTAGACTGTTCCAGCCTCTGCTCTCCAAGCAGCTTCTCAAGTTCACTGACAGCCCACCCTCCCTGCTTTCACATGAGTTGAGCCCTTTTACAGACCCAGGAGCAGAGGTTAGTCTCAGCGACCCCAGCCTATCTGACCCTCCAGAGGCCTGGCCATTCTGCAACAGTGGCATGTGCCTGTGCTGGGAGCAGAGCCCAGGGTCTCACACTGAGCTACAATCCCAGTGTTTTCATCGCCATCACTGATTTTGGGATAGGGGATTGCTAAGTCACAACTTACCCAGGCTGGGCTTCTTGCCTCCGCCTCCCAGAGCACTGGGACTGCAGATGTGTACCACCGTGCCTGGCTTTGGAGCAGCATATGCTGCTCTGCAAGTGGAGGGCTCCTGGTTCAGTGGGGACACTTAATAGCTTAAAGACTTACGTTCTGGGATGCTTCCCCATATCTCATGGGACGGTGACAAGGATGAAGAAACAAGCTGACAGTACTTCATACATGAAAACAGCACCCAGAACACACCCCAACCCTGTAACCATGGCAACTGGGACGTGCACCAGCCCTGTAACCATGGCAACAAAGAACCCTTCAGAAAAATTTGGAGAATCCCAATTGATTCTTTGTGCATAGACTTCCTTCCTTGTGAAATTATTATCAAGCCTCACATGAAAGAGCAAATTCCTTGCAGAGTCCTTCAGGACCTTCAGAACGCTTGAGCAGCATCTTATGTGTGCGGATAACCAAGTTCACGAAAACTTAAAGTGGGTGTAAGAGCCTATCATGCTGTCTCATTGTTATATCAATGTCAAAACTCCACAGCACTCCATGGCATTTGTCCAGACGAGAACAGATATGCAATTTGCCTATCACACCAGTGTTTGGCCACCCTGAACCATGGGCTTTCCAGAGGGCACTGGTATGTGGGCGAGCTAAGCTCCCAGCAGCTGTGCATCACCTGCGCCAGACACCTGCGGCAGCACCTGCCCTGCCGCACGTGGCTTCTCAGCCCAATGGACGGAGCGGCCTGCAGCTGGCTCCCGCCTTTCCTACCTTATCTCCCTCCAACTGTACTACCCTGCGACACTCAATATTTTTCTGAGATCCTCTCTGGTTTGTAACAAAGCAAGTCAGCGCTGCACTTGGCTGGGGAGGCCCTGGCCGAGGCCAGCGGCTGTTGGTGCACGTGAGGCTCAGCTTCCCTGCATCAGCATATCTCGTTTCTCCCCAGGTGCTGCCTGGAAGCCCTTGTAAAGGTAGAGTCTAGGATAAAACTGTTATGTCACCTACTAGGCAAAAGCAAAACTTTGCCATTATTGAAAGAGGAAGCAAGCTTCCCCAGCTCCTAACTCCGAATCTCAGCACTAGCACATGGAACCTTGCCGAGAACAACACTAAGTAGATTAAGCTGCCACATCACTGAGATTGATTAATATTTTGGGGGCCCTGTTATCACATCTATGCAATTTCTTATAATGTAAATGGTTTGAAGAAAAAAAATCCCCTTCAATGGATTTACTAGAGCAAAAGCTTAAGGGAGATGGCAAAGCAATGAGCTTTTTTTCATTAAGAAGATGCTGAAAAAATTGTTCTCAATCTCCTGGATATGGATTTTTTAAGCAGATCAGCTGCAGCGCAGGCTGAGGCCCTGCTGCCAGGACTGAGGGCTTTGCTCTCTGTGGCCCTGGAGCTGCTCAGCTGGCATGATCTCCCCTGAAGTCTCAGGCAAGCCACGTCCACATGGGCCAGGAGGGCAGCCTGTGAAAGGCTGTGTGGACTCCTGGGCCCCTGTGATTTTTAAATGGCTTCTTTCCCTTATGATAAAAGTTTCTTTGGCAGAACCGGAGATTGAGCTCAGGACCCTGCGCATGCCAGGCAAGCGCTTATTCTACTGAGCCTTCTCCCCCACCCCCTTACGATAAAAGTAACAGTGACAAAAAGTCACAGGAATAGTAACCACACTTATTATGTCGATGACAGTTACTTTCTTATTGTAGAAACAACAGCAGCAATCCCCATAAGCTGGCTCTTTCCTGTCGTGTGTGAAACACTCTCTGCTCGTGGTTTCCCCTAATCAGAGAGCACGGTCCGCCCACGTGCAGGTCCCACTTTCAGGAGAGAGGCTGAGTTCTTGGCGTGGAAGGCCACTGTGGGGCCCTGTGACCGGGCCAGCTCTCCCATCTGGGTCACTGTGGCCCTACAGCCTTTCTATAGCTACTTGGTACCCTGCCCGCACATGGTTCCCTTTGCTGTCTTGACAGTGAGCTCTATAAAGCCAGTCGGGCATTTCAGATGTCAGGGACACAAGGGACCCGGCCTGCCAGCTCTTCCTGGAACATGGGGTTCCGTTCCCCACCCCCAAGAGCAGCATTCACAGGATTCCACAGTCTGCTTCTTACATTTCAGAGAACTGAGAGGCTCAGGGACATCCCTTCACCTGCCCCCCATGATCCCCCTGTGGAGGTGCTCAGAAGGACAGACCCTTTTCACCCTTCAGGGGGTCCTCTGAAGACTCCAATAGTCTTCTCAACTTGGCCAAACTTCAAGAAATTGGAGTTTAGTTTATAGCTAAAATCAAAGCCAACGCCCAAGCCCTGGTCTAGCGACAGGCCCAGCACCCAAGGGCGCACTTCTCCACCACGGCTCCCGTACCTTCATATAGCCAGTCGCTGAGGCCGTTGTAAATGACGCCCTCCTTCCCCGTGGAGACCACGCGGATGGCCTGCTTTCCCACGTGCGCACAGTAATAGATGTTGTTCTCAAAGATGAAGATCTAATTCGGAAAGAAGAAAAAAGAATAGTGTTAACAGCGGAAGTGGGTGTGCATCAGGTGTTCCTAAAACTTTGCAATCGTCAGGACGTTTCCACACTCCTGTTGCAGTTATTTGAGGGGAGACAGGCAGGCTCAGCTGCCGCAGGCTCACTACCTGCAACGCTGTCTATATTTAGGGGTCACGCAGCCGCTCACACTTCATGGGTTTCGCCCGAGGTTATCATTTTCCGGGACTGAACGGCTTGTAGTGTGGTGCTCTTGGGAGCCTACATCAGATCGGGTTGCCTATTTCAGTAATTGCAGGTTTCCTGGCGATCAGGATCGGCGGGCTGGAAATGCCGAGAGGATTCTGGTGACACGGCGTTCAGTAGGCATCGCACAGTACAAGTCAGTGACAGCCACACAGCCGGGAGAAAGGTGGGGATGGCCATGCGTTGCACAACCGAAGCTTCTGGTAAGAGGTGACTGCGACAGCTTTCTGAGCATCTCAGCGGTGGCTCAGTGCAGAGCTCCAAGGCGGGGCACAGTTACGCCGGGACGCGACCCTCCTATCGTCCACTGCCTGATCTCTCCGTCGCCCAAACCGAAGCTCTGCCCCTCTGAGCACAGACCCCCAGCCCCAGCCCAGCCCCGGCCCCTGGCTTCCTGGTGCCATGGGGCATGCTATTCTGGACCCTCTTTCCTGAGTGTCCTTATGGGGCTGGCGCAGTATGAGGTGACTGCCGCCGCCAAGCGCCATCCATGGTAAGCAGGCTTCTAAGAACAGGATGCTGCGTCCTTATCCGCCTTATTTATTCATCAGAGCTGACACCGTGTGACTTCTGGTTTTTCCCTAAAGTCAAAATAACCATGAAGGGGAAACCACTTGAATCAATTCAGGCACTGAGGTGGTAAGGCCAGAGCAGCTAACGACACAGGAGGGCTTTCAGAGCTGCAGTAGGAAGTGGCAAGGACGTGGGAGAGCAGCGGGGAGAGCCGGAGGGCGTTCACGGGAATGTTTTCTTCTGGAATAAATTATTTTAAAACTTCAGATGTGCACTGGCCTTTCCAGTCGCATCTCCCATGCGTTCGGAAGCCCTCACACCGTGAGGGAGCCCACGTGCCTGCCCTCGGAGGCCTGGCCGGCGCCCTGGCCAACTTTTCTGTTGCTATGTGAGAGGCCCTTTTCGGAGGGGCTCAGGCCACTCCCTGCAAGCATCCAGCACTGGCGGAAACTGGATCTCATGCACCAAAAATAGGAATCAAATCCGTTTTGTGTTTTGAAGGGAATTCCAGAAAAAATACTGTGAGTGTCATTCATGAGGCCACGGAGAGGTATTCTGAGCAATACAGAAAATGGCATAAATATTGAAGGCTTTATATCGAAAGCAGTAAAAAGGCAGTTTGCTCAGACTGTTCTCACGGAAGGACGGGTCTGAAAGCCGTCAGGTGTTAGTTTTCTGTTCAGGTTTCCCAGCTATCAAGTACTCACTTCAACCAGAAATGACTTGGGAAACTTCCAGAAGCAAGTGTATACCCTCATTTAATTTCTTATTCAGTGCTGATGTGCTTGCCTGGGGTGAGATGTATGCCTAGGTTTTAGCTTCTTTCATGTGTTCTCAGTCTGTAAAGGATTTGGAATCAAAGAAGGCTGTAGCCAATTAATATTTCGAGTCAGTAAAACGTGCAGTGATAGATACTAAGTCCTTTTTGCCTTGGCTTTATTTTTTGATGGCAAGGAAAGGAAAGTCTGTGCTAGGAGGAAAGTGCTGGCTCTGAAGGTGGCCCTCCCTTCCTGCCAGCACTCAGGTGACGGGGGCTGTGCAGGAGATGGTGCCGTCTGCTCGGCAATGCTGGGCACTAGGAGATGCTGGGGCTTAGTCAGAACTTGGGGCGCAGGCCGGGTCTGCACTGCCCACTGCGTGCTCCCCTGTGCGCAGCTCATGAAAGGGCCCAGCCTGGAGCTGCTGGGGACCTGGGCACTGCGGAGCTGGGGTCTTCCCTGCAGGACGGCGGCCTCTGCGGGTCCTCCCGTCCTCGTTTCTCTGCCCAGCCCAGCCAGCTTCACTGCAGCGGGCAGGAGGGGCCGGCCTGGAGCCCACGCCTTGACTGCCTGCTCAGGGCGTGTCACTTCTGGGGTAGTGGCTGGCTCATCAACAAAGGAAACGTGCGACTGCTAACCAGAAATGAGCCAGGGACAGCAGGCCTACCTCTGAGTCACGACGCTACTCCTTGTGTCCCCTGTGGCTACATCTTCCTCATTCAGAAGGAGGGAGGAGACCAACCCAGAAGACCATGTGTGGGCTTCCTCATGAGATGGTGTGACCACCGCAGCGAGGCCCTCCTGTCCTCTTAGTGGGTTTACTGGTGGCCATGACCCCCGACCCACTCTGGCCTGCAGTCGGTGCAGCTGCAGGTGCAGCCCTGGCGGCCCTTGGGCTGCCCACCCCTGGCGCATCAGCAAGCTCTGTGGCCCTGAGGCAATGCTGCAACTGAGCTGCCATTTTGGGGTGCCACACCCCACTCTGCTACCTGGCCCCATTCTTTCCTCCAGAAAGCATCTCCAAGTCTGCCTAGGTTTCCTGGGGACAATCAGGTGCAGCAGCACAAGAAAGTGGTCACAGAGTCTGCTCGGCATCTTCAGGGTCACACAGCACATGTCTGACGTGCTTGGGGACCCTGGCTTCTCCAACATGACAGAAGACACCGCAGATGCCCCTCACAGCCCCGCCCGTGCCCTCCCATCCAGAAGCTCTGCCCTGGCTCCTCCTTGTCCTGGGGCCAGGCCCACTTCCTCCTTGACACCCTGCCTCCCTCTCCTGTCCTGAGTGCTGGGCCGTCCCCCCTGCTGCCCACCCTCTGAGGCCCTGCCCAGCTGCCCACTGAACCTGCACATGGCCCTCCCTTGGCTATGGCTCTCACCCTGCCGGTGCCACTGTTGGAGCAGGTGCAGGCAGCTCCTGGGGGAGGGAGTGGCGAGGTGGGGAGGGTGACACCAGCACCCTGCTGGAAGCCTCCAGGCCAGAGCCATGCAGTGCCAATGTGAGGCCTGGTGGGGTCTGCACAGAGGAGACATGGGTTTGCCCAGACCTTGGCCAGCTGGCAGGTGGGGAAGAGGGGCTGGGCAGTGAAGCAGGACCTAGGGGTCCAGGGCAGGTGGGGGCACTGCATGCGCTGTGGCCGGTGCTTCCTGGGAGCCTCTGAGGTGCTCCGTCCCTTGGGAGTTCTGGTGCCTTCTGCTGACCTCAGTGTTAGGGACCCTCTGGTTTCTGGCCACAAGGCATTTCCATTTATACCAGCTGTTCCTTCTTTCAATAAAAACTTGTTTTTCTTTGTCTTTAATTTTAAGTGACACATACAGAGTACTTTACCCAGTGGGTCACTGCATCTTGTCAACTGTCTGGATTTCATATTTGACGAGAGCAAGGCCATCTGCCAGGTTTCTTCTGCTCCTTAGCTTGTCCCTCTTCCCCTGAGGTCACCTTATCCCTGGTGTCAGAAGCCACACAGTCGCGGTTTCAGTGAAGAACCCGCACACTGCTTCATGAGGGCTGTGCGCGGGGAGCCTGCCGGGCACCCTGGCCTGGCCGAGTCGGTGGGGAGCCTGAGGGCGAGGTGGACATGCATGTTGCTCCAGAGAGGCTGGGCACGTCCTGCCTGCTCCAGACAGGTCTGAGCGTGAGCAACAACCCCAGCAGTTCCCGCAACACTGGGCCCAGGCAGTCCTGGCTTCCAGCTTGGCACAGCCAGCTGGAAGGAGGAGACACCCTGTGTCTAGGACACAAAGCCTGAATTAAGCTTCGGGGAAGGGGAGTATGGGGCATTTTGGGGCAGTGATGGGACAGACCCAGGAAGTCCAGAGACCTCAGACAGAGCAGCCGACTCTTGGAGGGAGGTGGAGCCTTGTAGAGACGGCCCGGGCAGAGAGAAGGGATGCCGCACAGGGCGCCTGCATGCGGAGGAGGACAGCAGTGCCACCCCGAAGTGACTGATGACCTAGCGGCTAGGCAGTAGAGGGAGGGGAGCGACAGCTATAAACCTTCTGGTTTATATCAAGGAGTTTTGCCCAGTCATGACGGCCTGAAGTGAACCAAGGCGCACAGCACACCCAGCTTTGGCCACTTGGGAAGCATAGTACACTTTTTCACAGTGTGTGGTGGTTGATACATTGCGTCAACTTGGGAAGCTTGGCTGGATCTGCTGGTGGATGCCACACCCTGAGGACCCGGCTTTTGTGCCCCACTTCCTGGGAGGAGTTCAGATCCCCTCAGTGCCACTTCCTAACCATGCCCCCTTGGAGGAGCTTGGTCTCCCCAGCTATATCACCCTGGAGGAGCTCGATCTTTGCAGTGGGCACCAGTCTTCTGCCACCACGAGCTGTTGCTGTTTGGCTTGGAGCCAGCAGAGTATGGACTGAAACCTTCACTAACTGCGAGCTAAATAAATCTTTCCTTCCTTCTTTCTGGGTGTTGGTATTTTGTCCCAGCAATGGGTAACAGTAACCAAGTGTGTTAGTTGTTACATTGTGTCAACTTGGCTGAATCAGCTGGCGGATCTCAGTGTAGGGGCCTCTCCCTGCAGGTGGGCAGGGCCCAGGAATTGAGAAAGGCAGGAAGCCGCCCTGCCTGGTTTCCTGCTGCCCAGCCTCTCTTCCGTGGAGAAGTCTCAGTCTTCGAAGGAGCTTGATCTCGGCAGCCCGGCCACTTTGGAGGAGCTCCGATCTTCACTGTGGAGCACTGGTCTTTGCAGTCAGCGCAGAGGGAAGAGAGAGGCTTGATGGACACCACTGCAGCTGCTGCTCCTCCTCAGCTCTTCATTGTTTTCTGCTGCATGAACTGGTGTTGTTTGCCCTGGAGCCAGCGGAATATGGACTGAACCCTCCAGTAACTGTGAGCTAAATAAACCTTTCCTTCCTTCATTTTGAGTGTCGGGTATTTGTCCCAGCAACAAGTAAAAAGTAACTAAGACACCAAGACACAGGGCAAAGTTTATGACTTGAGCCAGCCAGCCCTCCCCCCAAC